GTATGACTGATATGTTTCATCAGTAATAAGATGTCTGATAATGCATGCAACTCAATATTTTTTTAGAAAGACCTTCGCCATAAGACCAGCGGATACACCGCACTTTGAAATATCTGTTGTTAGGAAGAGATTGTCAATTAGTAGAAGAATTAAACAGTAAACAGCAAAAGAACGGTTCCCATTTTTTGGAGTCTTAGTGGCGTCATTATCAGTTTAGCTCTGATATGCTACGTGATTGAGAGTGCGATTTGTTTGCAATAAGCATGTCTAATGAAAGGCTTCTGGATAGGATCGATAAAGTCTTAATGTCTCTTATCGCAATATTCATTGCTTTTAGAATTTATTGCTTTTACTTTTATTTAATCTTAGTAACAGTGCTACTAATTTTCTTGAGATATTTACCTCCCGTCATGAGTTAAGGACGTAGACGTGAGAGTTTGCTTTTTCTAGATAGAATGATACTGCATCGCATATGGCTATTACCAATTCTAACAGTCGTTTTTGGTTTGGGTGCAATGTTAAGCGGGTAAGATTTCCCTAGTATTCTAGAAATTTTCCCCTATCCTGGAATTTTTCGTGAAGTCGAAAATTTAGACATCTCACAAGCAATCTTCTTAAACAACTCACTTTCAGATATGTTATAGAAATTGTGACACTAAATCGCTTCCCTGCACTTCTTCCATGCAATGGGTAATTGCTGAAGGCTACTCTTAATTTAAGCCGCTTTTCAAAAATGCTTATTTAAGTGATAATACAACTTCAATCCCTGAATCTGCTGTATTCGGACAAATTCTCAACATGGCTGCAATTCTATGTCCGTCGCTATTTTTACTTGATGCAAAATAATTTCATCTGAAATTTACAGATGCTCTCACAATTTATGTAGTCCATCTTCAAATTGAAGAATTCTATGGACAGTGTCTACAGTGGAATCAGGCGCGGTGGTTCAAATTTTCAACACTACTGATGTTTGTGGGATTTGCTAGCGCATTTGGGCTAATGTTGGTCGCAAACTTTCGTGTAAGCTCAGTGCCCCTACCAGCTAAGATGTCAAAGTACATTCTAGTGCATGTTTAGCACTCTGATATTCTTGCTGTGCATCTATTAGGAGCTATGATGGCTTTCATCGGAATGCTAATTTATGGATGGGGACATGTTATTTTTAGGTGAGTGCAGCTTTGTTGATTTGATTTCTTCAATGGTTTAATATTCCATACTCTTTAAAGAACAAGCATTTGGCAACTCGAGACCTGGAACCCAAATCTCCTATTGGTTATGTCTACATTTTGTTTAAAGTTTAAAACTTTATCAATTCATTGCTCTGCTCCGACACTTATCTAACATCCCCCAAAAATTGCCGTCATTTCAAGTTATGGGTTAATGGCTGGCACATATTCGTCCAATAAAAGTCCTTGTTAGGTGAGAGGCTTAGAGTTGTCGAAGGTACCCTCAAAATAATCATAGAGATACTTTTACTACTTCTTCAAAATTTAAGACTGAACGGCCTTGGGAAAATGAGAAGAACTTAGGAGAATTGACTAAAGAATAGGTGTACCTTCGAAAAGAAATGACGCATTATCAGACTCAGAACAAACAAAAAATTAGTTTCTTTCGATTTTTTAGGAATAACTAGATATTTTCATGTTTAGCACTCAATCACTCATGACTTGAGTACTTTTCTCGGCTTACACAAATTAGACCTTTGTAATTTTGGAGAATCCGAATTGCTCACTATCTTAAACTTACCAATTTCTGAATGTTGCTTACATAAGCATAAAAGCGTCACCATTCTTTCTATCA